GGGGTCCCCCCATGGTCCTGCCCCCCCCTCCCCCACCCCTTACTTACCAGCTCCAAGTCTGGCTCCAGCTCCGTGCTGCAGCAGGCGGGAACTGTCTGAATCACCAAAGCTCTCCGAATATTTTCCAAAGATTCAGAAAGCTTCAAATTGATTCAGACCTTTTTATTGGTCCCCTAATTTGATTTGGATTTGGAGATTCGGCCACCAAACCTCTCCCAAATCAAATCAGCACACAAAGCTTCACATAGCCCTGTTGGATACATGTAAGTGGGTTACTTAGTCTGTTGGCTCCTGCAGGCTGGCTTTGCTTCCTGAGGAGCTCTGCAGCAAGTACTCCCAAATAAAAGCACAGTCTTTGAACAGAAGACAAACAAATCAACAAACAAGACCCCTCAGCCCTTTCCCAGGCACAAGGAGGGGACTCTGGCTCTAGCCCCACCAGAGCTAGGGCCCTCCCTAGTAGCAAGCTTGTTCAGCTCACGGCTTGTCTCCTGCTTGAAAACTGCTCTTTCAGACAGTTTTCTCTCTTCCTTGGGTTTTTAAGCTCCCTCATTAGCTAAATGTTCTACAGTCGGGGTTCCTCAACAGGGCTACCTGACCCTTCTAAAAAGGCCAGAAGAGAAGTGGTTTTTAGTCTTTAATTGCAGGTATATCTTTTTCTAACAAGCAGATTCACATAATAGTAGAGCACAAGGATTAGCATTTTGGTTTTCTAATACTGCACAGGATACAGTAGAGGTAAAACAATGCCCAAATCTAAAAACAGTTTGAAGAGTTTAAAAGAGAAAAAAGTATTACTGTGCTTTGATGCATCAGAGGCTAATTAAGATAAATTTTCATTATGCCTGAGACTTGGATGTAAGAAAAGACCAGCAAACAATCCAGCCTGTAACAAAGTTCATTTATATTTAGTATTGAGAGGACCCAAATGACAAAATCCCCTCCAGATTTTTACCCCAATCTCAAAGTTGAACGCATTGGCTTCACCTCTCCTAAGACTGTGAAGCTGAGATTCCAATTCTGAACACTCCTGAAGCATGTTGGAATTAAGGTTTTGGCGTCTTTTTTGGGATTTACCCCTAACATATAGTTTACTGTATTTTGCAGGTGAATCATAGTTGTCTTGATATTTTTTGGCAATTATTTGGGCAGCAATGAAAGCAAGCAACAGGGTAATTTTTAAAGTTTGGTATGTGGCTTCAGTGCCCCAGTATGCTAATGACTTCTCAGCCAAGGGGTAATGATAACAGGAGACTACCTCCAACTACTCTGTGAATTTGCTGCACACTGTTCTGTCCTAACCTTTTAACAAGTCAAATTGCCCTGAACTACCATTTGCAGTTAAAGTAAATGACTTGGGGTGGTTTGTTCACACACCTATTGCATTATTGTTTCTTCTCTAGTTGTCCCCAAACCAATTGTCAGATACTATATCTGTGACTAAAGCATGGCTAAAAGCCAATCATTTCTGCACTTGCAATTAAAATAAGATTTCTCTATTTTTGTTTTTTGCATGCATGCATTACTGTTTCTCTACATTGTATGCATGGTTTCTGTATACTTTCTGGATGGGCGTGTTACTTCCTTTACTGCACTGTGGTATTATTTCTTCACTTCCATATATCATAAGGAATTTAGTTAATCACATTATCCATGAATGTATTTTCCCACATTCATCTTCTGTCTGCTTTGGTCTTAGTTCATTCCACAGGCTTTGCAGGGAGAAACCCACCAACAATCCTCATTCCAGGAAGTACATGAAGGTACCTGACAAATCCCAGGAAGTAGTGGAAACGGGAAGGGGTGTGGTGAAAGCAGGTGATAGAAACTCTGTGTTGATGTCTCCTGAGTAGCCTCGTCTTAGCAGGACTGCTGTGGAGATCCTGGGCAGTTTAAATCTTGAGTTGTTCTAGCACAATCCATCTGGGAAGGAATTAGGACACCTCTGTTTGGCCTGTCTGGGCATGGAGTCTCCACTGGAACTGATGTCACTGCCAGTGCCAGTGCAGGGATAAACTGTTTGTACCTGCCAAGGTGTTGGGGTATCAAACTGTATTATCCTTCATTAATTATATGATCAGCTTGTCTGGTTTTTAGTATTTGTCATTCTTAATAAAGGTTATGTCCTGTTTTATTACAAATGTACACTGTGTTTGGTGCCTGACTATTTAAAAATCTGCACGAGTAACGGAGCCTAGGGCTCCTGTTACTTTAGGGGAGAAACAACAGCAGAGAGCCTCAGGTGGGGAAGTCTGCTCATTAGGAGTTACGGAAGAGTGGCTCCCCAGGGATTTATAGGCTATGAGTGCCTTTAGCAGGGCTGGCTGCTCTGCAGTAGTGTAACAGGGTAGAGCCCTGCATAGGAGAAAGGTAGTGTTACGCAGCCAGGCAGCAGCAGTAAGCTGCCCTAGAATTAAGCCAACAAGCCTAAGTAGAAAACACCTGTGAGTAGCTAGGGGAGCCACATTACCAAAAAGGGACAGGGTCTATGAGGCACATAAACCCAGAGCCTGATTCAGGATGGTCAGTTTAGACCTGAAGGCTGAAGGGGGAAGATCTTTGTAGAGAGTTGGCTGCAGCTAAGTGACTGAGATCCAGCTATGCCTGAGAACAGCAAGTAAGGAGCTGGGAAGTGGCAGGGGACTAGGACCAAGGATAAGCAGGGGTTTTGGTGTCAAGCCAGTAAGCTAAGAGTTTAGTTATAGCCAGAGTGTTTATGTCTTTTAAGTTTTAACTGGCAGTTTGTGTTGGGACTGTCAGGGATGAGAGAAGGTCCCAGTAGTGTCAGAGACACATAGTGATGCTTGTGTTCACATTAACCATTCATTGCATAAAATACAGAGTCCTGGGCATGTTCTTACGTCAGTGTGTGTTTGTGGGGGAGAGTGGGTAGAGAGTGAGGCATGAGCCAGCAACTGGCTGTCCAAAACAACCAAGGCATAGATCTTTCTGGATGGGCCCAGAAGCACACATTTAGGCACCCAGGGACTTCTCAAATTTTAGGCAAAGGTATCTATAGTGGCAGTTGGACAACACTGAGCCTTTTTGTAGGCTTAACTCCTTAACCCCTGGCAAATGGTAAATGTTGCTTAAGACATGATTAACTGATCAGGTGATTGCGACTCCCAAGTGTGGGGATGCATTGGAGCCTGTGACTCTGATGTGCCTACAGCTGGAAGTGGCTGCTCTTCCCCAGAGGCTGGGACCACAGGCCAACTGATCTGTGCTCCCAGCCTCCAATATGCTCAAGGCTGGGAGCAGGACTCATTTGCTGTTGCTAGCAATTTTTTTTTCCCACATTGCTCGCAACAGCTTTATTCAGAATGGAGACAACTTCGGGCGAGCTCTCTCACCATAAGAGATGAGGAGCAGCCATGAACAATAGTTTTCTTCCATATTTATACACTTTGGTTTATACTCATTAACATTTACCCTGCCTTGTTCCACCTCCAGTTCCACCCATTTCTCCTTCCATCTCAAGCTCCGCCTCTGTTTACTGTTTGCATCATTAACATGGAATTGTCTATGCATTTCATTCATTTACATGTCTTTTTGCTATGAGCGCATGTCTAAGACCTTGACTCCTTTTCTTCGGTCAATAGGCAGACTTTGAACAAAACCTGGAAGCTTCTGGAGGCTTCTTCACCAATCACCATTTACCTTTTTGCATATGTTCATCTTGGATTCTGTTACCAATTACTTGTTGTTTTCCACATTCCAGTCTGTTTTTCTGTCTCATGTTGTACCATCTTCTACCCTTTTTGGGCCCCTGTATCTTATCTAATTTCTTACTGTAGCTGGTTCACAGCACACAGACTCACACAAATTCACTTGCTGCTTTTTCCTCAGAAAATGGTTAACACAGTTAAGATGGTTACTTAGCATAAGCAAATGGCTGGCTTAACTATCATTCTGCCTTGTGGTCAGCAGCTCTGCTAGGCCACAGGTCATGCCTTGTATTCAGCTGCAAATCCAATGCTCCCCAATAATCCAAATTATTGTTACCCTAACAGTGGTGCCTAACTCCTTTGCTGGGTCTGGCCCATTCTCTCCTTTGCTATGTCTCTGAATGTGTGCTGCAGTTCATACAACACTGTGGGAAAGTCTACATGTGAATTTAAGTGCGCATAAATTTAATGCACATTAAGCATTTTTTTGGCAAGTGTCTACACGTGGTGGGACTTGAGACTAGCTTTAGTCCCAAGTCACTGAAGCCCTGCCATGTACCCCTGTGACCACTGAGAGGGAGCTCCAGCCTCCGGACGCATGGCTGCTAGCACTTAGCAGCTAGAGCCACCTGCCAGCACTTGGCAGCCATCTGGAAAGCACACCCTCTGCACTGTGACCTCTGGGCTGATGCTTCCAGTAGCAGAAGAGCAGTGTGGCAGAGACACAGGCAGCACATGCCTGCTTTGCTCCTGCTGCAGCTGCACTTCCCAGCCCCGGTTGCCCCAGCTCCTGGCCCTAGCACCCGGGGCTGCCACAGATGTTCTGTTCACCCGCTGCCATTCCACATGCCTGCTGCTTGGCCAGCTTGCACCCTCCGACTTCCCCACCTGATCTGGCCACCCCCTGGACAACTGGTACATGCCTTCCAGGGCCTCCAGAATACCACCACCAGGACTCCTGTCTCACCAGCCCCACTGCCTCTGGGCCCGCTGCACCAGCCAGGACTGGTGGCAATGCATTGCGCTGCAGGAATGGGATAACAACCAGTGGGTCAGCACATTCTGGATGACCTGGGCCACTTTTGAAGACCTGCTGCACCAACTCCAGCCCCACCTGGAACACCAGGACATCAAGGTGCACCCAATCATCTTTGTTACCACCTGTCTGCCCCATTGCCCACATACCCCCTACCCCCTGCCCACCCCCCCAGCACCACTCCAGGTCATGCACATGTTTATAATGAAAACCTTTATTGCCCTTCCCTATCTCCCCCCTCAACCAACAGAGCCCCCTACCCATTCTCTCCCCAATACACAGAGCCCTTCCACCACCCTCCCCACCTGCAAACAATAAAAAGCCTCCTCCCAAACTGAAAACTATATTCATCAGTCTCAGTCTTTCTCTGAGTCCTAGAATGGAGGGCTGTGCACTGGGGGCACACAGGGCACAGAGCCCAGTGGGAGGTGGCCAGCACCCTGGTTGTAGACAGTTTCCCCACTGATCCAGGGGCCACAGTGAGCACTAGGGCTCCTGCATTTGGGAGGCAGCAGAGGACCTCTGAGGCCCAGGCGGGGACCTGCTGTGGGGCGGCAGGCAGGTCCCAGGGACCCTGCGGGGCCAGGAACCTGGCATGGGGGGGCCTTGACGCGGGCTCCTCTGGCCAGCCCTGGATAGCCAGTTGCTGCTGGAGCAGCTCCATGCAGCACTGCTCTAGGGCCTCCAGCTAGGCCCAGTGCTCCCACTGCACCTGATCCCATGCCTCCTTCTGGGCAGTCTCCCAAGCAATGTCTTCCACCTGCCAGGCCAGCTCCCATGCCTCCCACACCTGCTGCCACGCCTGCTTCTACACTGCCCCATTCTCCACCACTGCCACCAGCTGCTGGAGCAGCAGGGTCCAGTCCCTCGGCGCCACTGGCACGGCCCGCATATCCAGGCAGCTCCAGCAATAGATGGCAGCAACCCTGATGTGGCACTCTGGCAGGGCCCTGCAGCCTCTCCCCCATGCCCAGAAACTGGTCTTAAAGAAGCAAGATACAGAAGCCTTTTGTGAGAGTTTGCAACATTTCAGAGATAAGGTGCTTTGTACCAGGAGCCCTGCACTGCCCAGCATCAGATTGGGAGGTCAGTCGTGCATGGATGCCCAGGGACCATGGTAAGCTGGTTTGGCAGGGCTGAGCCCAGGCAGCCATCAGCTGAGCCTCCTGGCCCCGCTTACTCCCCTGGGGCCAGTGGCCTGCTGAGTGCTGACTGCAGGCCACCTGCCCCCTTCCTATCGGGCCAGGTCAGGCCAGGCTGCTGGCAGCACCTGCTGCCACAGTTCCAGACCACACTCCCCTACATCTTGCAGGCCAGCCACTCTGCCATGCAGCCCATGGCACCCAGGCTTAGATGTGCCAGGCTTCCAGACAACTGAGTCAAAGAGCTGGCCATGCCTCCACCCTCCCATCAGGGGCCTCTCTGGGGAGGCACCTTGGAGCCAGCCACTCCCCGCCATGCTGTCACTGTGCCCTGAGTGTGACCTTGCTACATGTGCCCCATGCAGTGCGTGATGAGCTTTGTGCACATGGAGGGGTGCCC